GAAGGCTCTGGAGGAGATCTGTATGGAGGAGTGGGCCAAAATCCCTGCTGCAGTGTGTGCAAACCTGGTCAAGAACTACAGGAAACGTCTGAGCTCTGTAATTGCAAACAAAGGTTTCTGTACCAAATATTAAGTTTCATTTTTCTGGTGTATCAAATACTTATTTCACACAATAAAATGGAAATAAATTATTTAAAAATCATACATTGTATTTTTCTGGATTTTTGTTTTAGATTCCATCACTCACAGTTGAAGAGTACCTATGATAAAAATTACAGTCATCTACAAGCTTTGCAAGTGGGAAAACCTGAAAAATCAACAGTCTATCAAATACTTGTTCTCCCCACTGTAAAAACAAACAAATAATTTCCAGTTCAAAAAACCAGTTACAAACCAGTGACACGTCAGTGTCTAATGCTCACTGCTTCACACTGAGGACCTTTTCACTGAACAGTTTTTCTTCAGAAACATCAACATGTCTGTTTTCTCTGGACACAAACCAGCTGCTCCTGGCTGATGGTGTCTCCAGCAGTAGAACATGTTCACTCTGAGGCTGTAGATGATGCTTGTTGCACACACAGATACCTGGTTACCAGTTTGACATATTGTCCCTCACATTCCACCAGCAGGTCACTGGATTCACTGAGGTAGGGATGATGCAGACATCTGCACCTCTGTGTCTCTGCCTGAATCTTCTCTGTGGTTCTCTGGGGTTTAGGGCTCTGATCATCTCCCTAATTGACATGAGAACAAAACATCAACAATAACATGGTTGTGTTCTTATTACTCAAAAAACATTATCTAGGCTACATTAGGTGAACTGTTTAAGCAGCTGACTGGATGGATGAGCAGTTTTACAAGCTAAGATTTATGTTACTGTCAATCTTTATTTAGCTTCTGAGTTTAGCTAGCCACGTAGATAAAATAAATTTACACACTAATATGTTAAAGTTAGAGTTACATGGATCATAGTTTATTTCACTGCGATGTACGTGTTAAGCTGCAGTTACGCTAACAAACGTAACTCACCAGCTGAAGCACACAGAGCCGTCCTTGGAGTTCTTTGATGAAGAGTCCGGTCGTGTAGATAATGAATCAGGACGTTCAGGCTCTACTCACAGGCTGACTTTAATGCTGAGAGGAGGAGGAGGAGGAGGAGGAGGGGGAGGCTGCTGAACTCCTCTCTCCTCGCAGAAAAACACGGAGCAACTTTCTGCAGCGCGTGTTGTCGAAGCTGTTCGACAACACGCGCTGCACACGTGAACCCGTCTGTGGGCGTCACCAGCACCATAGACATACATTACAGTATACATAGATTAGGTACAGCAGCTCTATACAGCTCTAGGTGTAATCTGGGTGTAGTCTGTTTGTCATATGTCTGCTGTTTTACCAGCCTGCATGCTGAAACCACGTGACACGTTACAGCCAATACCGAAACTTGACACCGAAAGAAGAGTGACGTTTCAATACATACACCGACCGGTGCAGTTCGGTCAGTGCTATAAAAGAACCTCGATTCGGTACTCAGTCCTACCAAAAATAGACCTATATCTAATCTAACTTTCATCTCAAAAATTCTAGAGAGAATAGTTGCAGGTCAGTTGCGTGAACATCTACAAAGAAATAATCTGTTTGAAGAGTTTCAGTCAGGGTTTAGAGCTCATCATAGCACAGAAACAGCACTAGTAAAAGTCACTAATGATATTCTCATGGCCTCAGACAATGGACTTGTGTCTCTACTGGTCCTGTTAGACCTCAGTGCTGCATTTGATACAGTTGATCACAATATTTTACTACAGAGGCTTGAATATGATGTTGGGATTACAGGAACAGCTCTAAAATGGTTTAAATCATATCTATCTGATAGATTCCAGTTTGTAAATGTAAATAATAAATCTTCTCCATACACTAAAGTTAGTCATGGAGTTCCTCAGGGCTCAGTGCTTGGACCAATACTCTTTACTTTATATATGCTTCCATTAGGTAAAGTTATTAAACAGCATGGGATAAATGTTCATTGTTATGCTGATGATACACAGTTATATTTGTCCATTAAACCCAATGAATCCAATCAGCTACTTAGACTACAAGCATGTCTTAAAGACATAAAAACCTGGATGACCCTTAATTTTCTCCTGTTGAACACAGACAAGACTGAGGTTTTGGGTTTTGGACCTGAGCGCCTTAGGAATACATTTTTCAGTCTTTCTCCCTCATATGCATTAATCTGTCCTCCAGCTCTAATGTTAAAAATCTTGGTGTTATTTTTGATCAGGACATGTCTTTTATCCCCCACATTAAAAACGTTACTAGAACCTCCTTCTTCCACCTGCGTAATATCACTAACATTAGAAACATCTGATCTAAAAATGATGCAGAAAAACTGGTCCATGCATTTGTCACGTCTAGACTGGACTATTGCAATGGTTTATTATCTGGGTGTCCAGATACTTCTTTAAAATGTCTTCAGTTGATCCAAAATGCTGCTGCCAGAGTCTTAACTGGAGTTACTGGGGGAGATCATATTTCCCCAGTTTTAGTTTCTCTCCATTGGCTCCCTGTCAAATCCAGAATAGAATTCAAAATCTTACTTCTAACCTACAAAGCTCTCAATAACCTAGCTGCATCTTATATTACAGATCTTATTCTTCCATATTTTCCTAAAGCTTCCAGTATAATGCCGTGTACGTCCGTTCACGCGTACATACGTGTGTACTGTACGCAGAGGGTTCAGACATGATACTCCAGCGTACACCCCGAGCAGCTGCAGAGCAGCTTCACAGACAAGGGGCGTTTACCTTCGGGACAAATTGAGGTCGCCAATGCTGACATGCGTATTGGATTGATTGACAGGTCGGGGGGGGGGGGGAGAGAGCGCTGGCAGCCTCAGCCACAGCGGTGTTCTGTGTTTATATGTTGTTAATAAAAAGATCTAAAAAATTAATTAAAAAAACAGGGAGAGCTGGCTCTACAGCCCACACATCAGACCAGCCCACCAGGAAATCTCCAGACCCTCCCGCAGCCACGCTGGACCTGAGTTTAATTAGACCGTGACAAATTCCTCCATTTCTCACCATTTCAGTCATGGCATCAACAGAGGAGGAAGAGATCTCTGCCTCTTGGCAACAAAACAAAAGAAATGGCCAGATCAGAGATGAAGAAGAGGAATTTAATACATTGTTGTCGCATACAAAACAGTCCGTCGCCGGGCAGTTTATTGTGCGACATCGAGTATGCGTATGTGGTCGTAAAAATTTGAGCTTTGCACGGACATGCCCTGGGGGGTACGCTCGTACCTCTGCGTACGTACGTGCGTACCGCTGTGTATGGACGTATGCGGGAGTATACTGGGGGCTTAACAGAGCACTTCGCTCTCAGACTGCAGGTTTACTTGTGGTTCCTAGAATTTACAAAAACAGAATGGGAGGCAGATCTTTTAGTTATCAGGCTCCTCTCTTGTGGAACCAACTTCCAATCTCTGTCCGTGAGGCTGACACATTATCCAGTTTTAAAACTAGGATTAAGACTTTCCTTTTTGATAAATCCTATAGTTAGAGTCGGCTTGGGTTTCCTGAGCTGTCCCTTAGTTATGCTGCTATAGGCTTAGACTGCTGGAGGACAAACTGACCACAATTTTCAATCTGCTACTGTCTTTACTTACTCTGCTCAACCTGTTTTGTATTTGTAATTATTTTTTCTATCCTTAACATGTGTTTTTTTTGTGTCTTTCAGATACACCTGGACCTATACCTGGACCTACCATTCTGTGTTCGTCTGTCTCTCCTTCCTGTCCTCTCAACCAGCCGGTCAAAGCAGATGGCCGCTTGTCCTGAGCTGGTTCTGCTGGAGGTCTCTTCCTTTTAAAAGGGAGTTTTTCTTTCCACTGTCTCCACTGTACTTGCTCAGGATGGGAGACTGCAACGAAGCCAAGATTCAACTTGTCTGCTGGATTCCTTAGATAGAGAACTTTACTAATTGGTTTTACGTGAATGTTTCTGTAAAGTGCCCTGAGACAACTTTGTTGTGATTTGGCGCTATATAAATAAACTGAATTGAATTGAATTGAGTGTGAAGTGGATGGATGAGAATCAGCAACTCCAAATCTGTGGCCATGGTCCTCAACCAGAAAAGGGTGGATTGCTCTATTCAGGTAGAGGGTGAGGTTCTGCCTCAAGTGGAGGAGTTCAAGTATCTTGGGGTTTTGTTCACAAGTGAGGGAAGAATGTAGCATGAAATTGACAGATGGATTGGTGCAGCATCTGCAGAATTGTGGACTCTGTACTGGTCCATTGTGGTGAAGAGAGAGCTGAGCTGTTAAGCAAAGTTCTCTGTTAACCAGTCGGTCTACGTTCCTACCCTCACCTATTGCCACAAAATCATAGTGACTGAAAGAATGAGATTGCGGATACAGGAGGTTGAAATGAGTTTTCTCCACAGGGTAGCTGGACTCTCCCTTAGAGATAGGGTGAAAAGTTCGGTAATCCGGGAGAGACTCAAGAGTAGAACCGCCTCTCCTCCACATCCAGAGGAGCCAGTTGAGGTGGTTCGAGGTTCTGGTAAGGATGCCCTCTGAGCGCCTCCTTAGGGAAGTGCTTCAAGCATGTCCGACTGGGAGGAGACTCTGGGGAAGACCCACGACACGCTGGAGAGACCATGTCTCTCGGTTGGCCTGGGAAGGCCTTGGAATCCTCGCAGAAGTGCTGGAAGAGGTGACTGTGGAAAGAGATGTCTGGGCCTCCCTGCTCAAACTAATGCCCCTGCCACCCGACTTCGGAATAAGCGGAAGATAATGGATGGTTTGTATTGTTTTAGTTATTAAAACAAAAAAGAAAGATACTTGACAAAATGTCTACAGAAGATATAAAACTCTACATTTCATTTTTAAATCAAGATTTGGGGGGGGAAAAAAAACCCACGCACACCAGTATATATAAACTGAATGCACAGCTTGAACTACAGTAAATTACAGCAGAGTTCCATCAAAGCCATGGTGTACCTACCTAAAAGCAGCCAGAAGAGGAGCATATATTGAGTCGCCATCGTACACGTACAAGTGGTCCCAGCTACATTCAGTGGCAAAGTGGTTGAATCGTAATCGTAGAATGGTGTTAGGCCTGCCAAACACACACAAGGACCAGTATATATTCTGTGTATATATGCAAATTACACGGTAGAAAGAGAACTTTTAAGATTTACACAAAAATAATTGCAAATCAAAAAACAAATTGGCTTCTTGAGATGTTTAGATAAGAAATACAGAGAGAGAAATTATTTGATCACTTAACTTTCTAAAGTCTGCTCATTAACAAAGTATTCATTTTGATTTGAATTTAATTTTAATGAAGATCCAGAAAAAACAAACATTTAAAGTCAAAATTCGTTTGAATGACAGTTTGGGTTTTTTTTTATCCCCAAAATGAGACTTGGTACTTAGAGAATCCTTGTTGGCAAGCACGGAAGAGGCATTTCTTGTAGTTGGTCACACATCTCAAAAGGGATAAACCATGTAGGTGGCCTGGCTGTCACTTGGCAACTCAAAGCTTCAGTTCTCTACCTATTTGTTGTCTGACAGTATAGAGCTAGTAGGTCACTTTGTCTACCTAGATCAGAGGTGTCCAAGTCACTTACAAAAGGGGCAAAAATTAAAACCTTTTTCAAACTAAGGGCCAATTTCAGAAACTACATTAACTGAAATCAGACACCCAGCATCTTTTCTTGGTCACAGGTTCCTCAACAAGAGTTTGATTGGTCTCATTTCATGTTCTCTGCTGTGCTTTCGACATCATCGTCAAAGATTTCTGAAAAAATTCAAGCGATAGAAGTATTTTACGTTTCACATATCATCTTGAGGGCCAGATAAGATGTCAACGAGGGCCACGTTTGGCCCCCGGGCCTTGAGTTTGACACATATGACCTAGATGAACGGAGAGCTATCTCAGGTAAGAGGATAGGCATGGATGTGTGTACCAAAACAACAAACCACAGTTGCCCCAAGAAAGATATTTATTTAAAACCTTTCCACCGAAACTCACTTCAAAATAACTGAATGTCCTTTTACTAATTACAGCTTATCTAAGAACTTAAAAAATATATTTCCAAAGCTTTATCCCAAACTTTACCAAAGCCCTGGATTCATTTTGTAGTGTTACCTGAGATCCTTAATCTACTTGAATCTTCTCAAATAATTAGTCAGGTTAAAAAATGTGAATTTCTTTCAGATTGAGAACAACACAGAATGTGAAAAGTGCTGTCCTAAATTGATTTTGTGATCATGATGATGGTACTTACTGTCCCTCAATAAGCCAGGTGCACTTGGTCTTATGTAGGTAGTTTCCTGGGCCATCAGTCAAAAAGCCAAATGGACCCGTGAGCCTGAAATAAAGATGAGAAAGGGTTTTACAAATTTTATTTTAAATTTTTCTTTTACTCAGAATGTTTTATTCTTGATTAATCTGTGATGCAACAAACTACAGCTGACAAAAATATTGAACCCAGAAAGTTTCTGAAGAAATCATGATGAAAGGTGTCAATGCAGCTGCTGCCTAAAGTTTAAACAATTTTATAATAATCTGGACAATGTGGATGCATAAACTGTAGAGAACCAAAATCAAATGAAATGTTTAAGCTGCTGCCAGTGTCATCATGGTTACCATGGCAACCAGATCTGTGTCTGCCACTTCTTCACATCAAACTTGTGAGAAGCAGAAAGCAAGACTAAAAAGTAAGCCTCAAACATTCACTGTGTAAAAACTATAAATCTGATCTTGGAAATTCTTGTGAAATGTTATGATTCTGTAATGTTTTATGTTGGAGGTATACCACCTCACAAACATTATTTAATTTCAGTTTTAAATAAAATATTTTGAGATAAAATATAACTGAAGTTTGAGGAAGCATGGCTGTTTATTCTGTATTCTGTGGGGATTGGGAAAAAAATTATACAACAGTGAGACGCACTCTGGGTGAAAGAAGAAAAAAATGTCTCACTTTCTCCAAAATTTACAAAACTAAACTGTGATTATGTAAAATCTGTAAAATACATGCTTGCAAAGTTCAAGGCTTTTATTGTCATTCATCACATGTGGTACATGAGGTGAAATTAAATTGTGTACTCAAGGTCCCAGTTACACCCAAAAATAGCAAAAATATAAAGTATAAAAAGAAACCGTATATCAGGACCTAAGATATGCACTAAACACTAATAATGTAAAACAATATGCTGTATTAAACAGCAGCCTGAACATGAGTCTGTTGTGAGCAGATGGGTATGAATACAGCAGCTTAAAGGCAAGAGATCAGCAGCAAGAGATCAGCAGCATGGATAACCAGCAACACAAAGTGATATCTCTCCAATTAAAGTGTCATTACAGTGATTATTCTAGTTAGAGATTCATGAGTTTAACAGCCTCAGGGTAGAAGCTGTTCCTCAGTCTAGTGGTTCTACACTTAATGCTCCTCAACCTCCTTCCTGAGGGGAGTGGGGCAAAAAGTGTGTGTGCTGGGTGAGTGTGGTCCTTCATGATGCAGGTGGCCCTCTTCCTGCATCTGGAGGTGTAGATGTCTGTGATGGTGGGGAGACTGACTCCAACATCTTCTGTGCAGCCTTCAGCACTCTCTGCAAAGCTTTTCTTTCTGCAGCTGTGCAGCCTCCATTCCACACGTTGATGCTGGAGCACAGGATGCTCTCCACTGCACACCTGTAGAAGGAGGTGAGGACTGAGCTTCCAGACCAGCTCGCCTCAGCTGTCTGAGGAAGTAGAGTCTCTGATGAGCTTTCTTCATCAGGCTGGTGGTGTTGTTTTTTCATTCAACCTTTATTTATACAGATTTGTCCCATTGACTGGTGGTGTTGTTGCCCCAGCTGAAGTTGTCGTTCAAGTGTACACCCAAGTACTTGTAATTGCAGACCACTTCCACCGCAGATCTTCCTATGTTCGGGGGGGGGGATTGCTCCTTCTGAAGTCCACAACCATCTCCTTTGTCATCTTCACATTGATGTGAAGGTTATTCTCTTTGCACCAGCTCTCCAGGTGTTCCACCTCTTGCCTGTAGCTGGACTCATCATTGTTTATGATGCATCCCACCACCGCTGTATCATCTGCAAACTTTACAATGTGACAGCCTGGATGGGTAGCTGCGTAGTCATAAGTGAACAGAGTAAAAAGAAGGGGGCACAACACACAACCCTGAAGGGAGCCAGTGCTGAGGGTTATGGTGGAGGAGAAGAAGTTATGGATCCTCACAGAATGTGGTCTGCTGGTTAAGAAATCCAGGGCCCAGTCGCATAGGGAGGGGCTTAGTCCTACTTCAATTCAAAGGGAGTTTTTTCTTTCCACCATCTCCTTTGTGCTTGCTCATGATGGGAGACTGTGACGAAGTGAAGATTCAATGAGTCTGCTGCTTCCTTTGATAGAGAACATTACTAATTGGTTGTTCCATGTATGTGAATGTTCCTGTAAAGTGCCCTGAGATAACTTGTTGTGAATTGGTGCTATATAAATAAACTGAATTGAATTATATTCTGAATTTGACAGGGAGCCAATGGAAAGCAGGTAAAACTGGAGACACATGATCTCTCCTATCAACTCATTTAAACTCTGGCAGCAGCATATTTAATGTATAATTTGCATGTTTTGTTTCAGAGTTGTGCAAGATACAGGACAAAAAATATAGAAGAGCAATAAAGGTGCGGTGGTGCTCAGCCGACTAAATAACAATTGAGTAGGTGGCTAACAGCTTAGATAGGAAGCTGGAGACATGGTCAGCACATAGATGTTCTGTGGTGAAAATGTCGGTGAACACAGACTGTTTAAACTCTGATCACTGATGAAAATGTCTTAGCAGCCTCCCAGGCATGAAAAGAATTATGAAGTCATAATCAGCAGCAGCTGTCAATCAGTTTTGCAAAGCCAATAACATACATTTTCAAGACTCTAATAAATAATTATTTCACAATGAATGTATCTTTATTCTTTATCTTGTAGCTCCCAGCTGAATGCATGCAGCTCAACAACTTCACTTTGTTTTCTAGAACTACAGACAATATCATGAAATCTGATCCACATCAACAGCATCATATTGTGAACATTTGAATAAGACAGTCTGAACCTTTAACTTTGTCACTCTTCATGTTCCTCAGGGGGAAATCAACAACCTTATTGAACTGATTAAAATACTAGTTTAAATATTTTAACACAAAAAACTAGTCCGTCTTTTAGAGCTCTCTGCCTGAAATAATTATATCTAATTATTTTTTCTAATTTTAACATAAGGATTTTTGTTTAAAAAAAACTACACTACAGTTGTTTTTAATTGACAAAAATGTTATTTTATAGTCATTTTACAAAGGGGGGATGTATTTTCCTGCATTACTCCACCCTCTGGGTCAACATCCACATCCTCCTCTTGTAGTGAACTAGGCCTCCGACCAAAACCTGCCTCTGAGGACCTTCATGGGACAGGAACTGTTATTTCATTGATTTGAATCCAGAAATACAAATTAACTCATCCAGAGAATTTCTAATTGTATCCTGAAGTAATCAATTGAAAGAACACTCTTCTTTTATATTATTATCACTATTTTACAATATCTTGATAATCAAAAGTGTGTTTAGTTTATGCCATTTTTAAATGTTGAAGTGAACCACTCATTTTAAATCAACTGTGAAACAGTTTTAATGATTTTTTAATGCTCATTTAAATTAGAAATCAAGTTAAATGTCTATTTTACAAAGTAATTATGCATTTTTGATCTTCTGTCTGAAATAAGAAGTAGTGATGTCGGTCGAAAGTCAGGAGGGAAGTTATTGGAACAAAGTGTCGTGTTTTTAAAACTCTCAGACAGTAAATAAGAAAACTGGCACTTGCAAGTCTGTCATTTCTCCAAAATATTTTCTCGTCTGTAACTAACCGTTCTCAAAATATTCCTGCTGTTTTCTTGACTTGTAATGACCCTCTGACATCACTAGAACCACACCCCTGTTGGTTGCTTCAACCAATCAGGACGTACTAAAGTGACCGGAAGCAGAACTCTTTAAAAGTCGACACTTCCTGGAACTATGCAGTTCTAGCAGTTCTGTAGAGTTCTGGAGTTCTGGAGTGGAGTTCAATCTGATGGAGTCATCCATCTCTGCTGTGGTCACAGCGCCTCGCTGTGACTTCACCCGGCGAATGCCCTACAACTTCTGAGGAAGTTTGTTCTGTAGAATGGAGTATCTCACGACTTCTGCCGAGTCGCAGCCGCCCTGAGGAGACGCTGAAAAGTAGCGTGCCAGGGACCTCTTGACCGTAGCGGACCCATCCTCTGCCAAGGTAAAGAGTCGTCACGAGCTTCACGCACTAAGTGGACCGAGGGCGAGCTGCGTTTGAAAGGAGCGTGTTGTTCTGGTCCACAGACATACATCTTCCTTCAAACCTCTCCCTTTAAACTCCTCTATTTTGCCAGTAATTAATCCAGATGTCTTCAGAAATGTCTGTTTTTATTAAGTAAAACGTGCCAAGTTTTATTAATCAGAACCAGTTCAGCTAATCAAGTGTACAATGTTTTGATGTTAAATTTTGATTCTGTTCAATAAATTACCACATTTATTATGATGGGTCAAAGAAAATTAACGTCTCATGTCACTGATTAAACCATCTACGCACAGTTACTTCTGTCACATGGCTGTAATTAGCTTGAAAAAGAGAGAACCTGTTATTTAAATATAATTGTAGTGACGGTACAGTCAAGCTGACCTTGACACACTACACTCTGTTCTCCAGAGGTCACAACTGATGCTTGGTTCTGTTGACCCAGTCAGAGGGGTTCTGGACCCTCTCCTCTGCGCAGTCACATCTCCTAGTGGGGCTCGGTCCACTCTTCCTCTTTTAAAGCAAATCATCTCCTCACAATCAAAGACCTTACTGTCTGACTCGGACAGTTTTTCTCATTCATGATCCTCTCCTCTGCCTGAGAAGTTATGACTCGGTGGTTCCGTCCTCCTCTGGGTCTGCAGCTCCTCATGTTTAAAATCATCTCATTGTTTTAGCTCAACCACACTAAAACTGACTAAACACTAAACTACACCCTTAATATAAAACCCAAACATGCTCACAAATCTCTCAGACCTCATGACTCACTCCTGCTCTCGCTGTCTTTATCGCACTTAACTCAATTCAACTTCCACATCTTTTTCTTCTTCTTCGTGTAGATTTTTTTGGTGCTTGACAAATAAGTTTGAGCCTACGTCAGAAAAGATGGAGGAGGTTGATTATCTCTTCAGCCGGGGATGGGAGGTGAAAGTGGAGGGTGATGGGGGTTTTTTGTCCCCGAGACTGCCCGTCTTTGCTGCAGCCTCTCACTCTAATGCGCTTCAGATATGACGATGATTTTC